GATCTGATGCATCGCTTATGAATTCAATTATGAACCTTATCAACTTCAAGTGAATCCAACCAATCGCATTCCATAAAATCCGTCAAACGTCACTGGTTGGACACCTGGGCATGGTGACCGATTTATCGATCCATGTTGACGTGATTGACTTCCTTACCTGACCGACAGAGGTCAATCACCGCCACGTTCGTTTATTCGTGTCTATGACATACCCGATCAACGATCACGGACATTCCGTTCCCGAGTGGGGCGCGGGGGGGGGGGGAGAGGGAGACAGCCCACCCCACCGAAAATTTCATCATCTTTCGCTCCCCTTCTTTGTCTTGTTGTGTCGTGTTGTTCATTGTGATTAGCGATCTTATCTTCGTGAGGCTCGGTAACTGACTCAAAAAGTACTTTCGTTTGTTTTCGGAGAAACGAGTTCATTCGGACTGGGTGGGGTTTAGACTCGGTCCAATTGGTAACGTTTGACGGTTGAAACATCATTCAGCTTGTGGGGTTCCCAATGGACCGCGATCGGCTGGATCCACTTTAAGATTCACTTGAAGTTACAACAGATTCACTCGAAGTTGGAAAGGGATAGATTAATTACTGCTTTTCATTATTTGTTGTATTATAATGGACCAACTGTGATTGAAGTGTTCTCTCAGTGAGTGTCAGACAAGACATTTGATCATACCGTGTTAGGTGCAGTCTGCAGTCGGCAAAACCGTTTGGTCTATTTAAAGTCACTGACTTTAGTGTCTATATTTGTCTCATTTTTGGTTTTAAACCCTTGCCGGGGCATGACAGATTCATGACGACATCACGCAAGTATTTCATCATAAACAACACTGAATAAGCAAGCGATTCAAATTTTTTCACACCAACGAAGTTCTCAAAGGTGAAATTCGTCGTGTATATAGCAAATGAAGCGTGAACTGAAAAGCTAGGAAGCACTGTACAGCTGCTTCAACTTGGTTAGGTATCATCAGCGTTGCGAATCCATCACGCCAACCGGGGATAGAACCCGGGACATCGCGGGCCGGACGCAAGCATGCTATGCACTCAACCACCGGGCAGCTGATCAGACCGTTTTTCATTTTCCATTTACGCGATATAGCACGACCCATCTTTGTGAGTAATGGAGGATTTGATTCAATTTTAAAGGTGAAACTCGTCATGTATATAGCATGAAACAAACTATGGTGTTGATGTAGCGTGTAAGAATGGAATGAAAAGCACCTGCCTTCCCTGTCCCGTATAAATTCCGGTTGGGACGACCATGCGGCAAAGTTCACAGCCGGTAAAGCGGATCCACGTGTGCATGGCCCCCGGATGATCCACCTGACCTGAGGAAAGTCATGCGGGTCGATGATCAAATGGCGGTTTCATGGCGGAGATCGATTGAATAGATTGTTGTGATTTGGACGCAATTCGCCCCGCTTGCTTCGGCCTGTCCGTCACACAAGCGTATGTGAACTTCATTACATACCGACGGCACAATTCTAAAGATATTGTGCCTTCGAAAAGAATACCACAATGGTCTGCGTTTTAAGTCGGTAGCCAGGTGAACTGTAGGTTGGCCCATCTTTCACCTTACTTCAAGCCCCTGTTGATGTAAGGTCATGGATAATGTCCCCTAACTCCCTACCATAGTGACTGCTCATGCGAATGGGCTGATCACAGTAGCTTCCTTGTATTGAGTCTGAGTCATGTGTGCATGTGCGTGTGTGTGTGTCCGTGCGTGTGTGTGTAAAGGAAGAGAGAACCTGAGTAGATTCAGTATGGTAGATTCACCGATCACAAACATGCGTTTACATCGGGCGCGTTCCTGAATCGCGTGTGAGTCTCAGCGAGCGGGTGTGTGCACACCTCAAGTTGCACATCAATGAACAACGCGGTCTTATCTGCTTGAAACCTAAAACCGACTCAACAACATTTTGATCGATGAGTCTTTGTTATTCCCGTTTGTGTTGTCAGCATAATACCGTACGCCGTATCCATCGGTTTGCCCATTTTCCCTATGTATCTTCCCGCGGACACCTGATATGACTCATTTGATGGGTTCTGTTCTCTCGTTGTGTTTGAGTTTTGCCCACCGACATTACTATTGACATCGTTTAAACAACTGGCATGCGAATGTAAGATTTATCGCCGTCTTGAAGTTGCTTCCTCCTAACTACAGTTTTGATGCTGGTTTCCATTTATTAACAATCACATTTACCTGTATTTCCTCTCTGAACTGGTATGCAATCGTTTCTCATAGAAATTCCACTCCTTTCAACCACTGTGTTACCATTTGCCTCTCCTATCACAATTTTGGGGCTTTTTCGAGTTAAATTCTAGCGGTATAAAAGTTGCATCATTGTTGTATTGCGTGAAACTAGCAACTCTGACGCTTGGGAGAGGTTAAACGTTTCATGTGCGTGTGTGTCATCCACCGCAGAAGTGACAACGTCACTTCACACGCACTATCGCTGTCACCTCGGCTGGTGATGAAACATTTGCAAGCAACTTGACAAGCTCAGTGAACAGGCAAAATGAAGTTCAGTTCTCTAGACCTACGTGAACCAATTTTCAACACTAGGTCAACATCCCAATTGTGAAAACTGATCATTTCATCCTGGAGAGTTGTGGACTATAGGGGTCTTTCAGAAAAGGAAGTATATTGTTACATGTTACCCCTAGAACAATGAAGGAATCAGCCCTATCCTCGTTAAAAGTTCTAGTGTGAGATGCAGTTGAGCCATGAAAACTGGAGTACTGTTCATGTGAAACATATTCCCTCTAAATCATGACAATTGATTGCTATCGTTTCTCCAGGCCTTTTTATTCTGGAAAAGTGAGTCGGATCAGGACAGATCCCCATCCATCTGTTCGAACTGTTCAACTCTGCACAGGTCCAGGTGGGTGGGTGCTCCCACTACACTGCCTTACCAATGAGTCACTGTGTTCAGTTCGTTTAGCACCTGGGAAGCTGGTAAATGGGCACGTCAAAGGAAATGACAACCGGAATGGACACTCCACGATCATCCATGCGATTGACCTTAAAGAAAACGAATACCCTCGACGAAGAGTGACTTGAAATAGCTATTGGCGGAAGGCGTGTCTCGACTATTTTCACGGCATCCACCTAGTACCCTCACACCATGTGAAGCAAGTTTCAATCCCATTGGGGAGAGCTAATTTATCTTGCATTTCAACAAACGGTATATTTTTATTGATTGTATGATATGTGGGTTAGAATACAAAATTTTGAATGATGAAACCAACGTCAGATCGGTCGAACCGAAATGGTCTGGATCTTCAAGTTTGATTGGGCACTGTTTGTTACACTGCGGTGATATAACCGTGGTTACGGATTTCCATGACTTGTCCTGGATATAAAGGCTAGTTCGACAGTGTTACCACTTGGAGACAAATCACATATAACTTGTCCATGCGCATATCACAGGTGATCTTAAGATGGATTCTGTTATTTAGCATACGTGTGGTTAGCCGTCACCTGATTGATGGTTGGGATGCAGATGATCTGATTAACTATTGAGATTCACCTATCCGGCATTTGGAGTTCAATTCTTTTTGAAGTTCGTCTACGACGGTTTCTATTGAAATCAGTGAGGACATTTTTCTAAGATTATTCAAAATAACCGAAGGAAAATCAACGGAAATATAAGGAAATTTTATAAATTGATATACTGGTGGATTCTGGTCACTGACATTTTTTTACATGGTACTCATTTATGAATATTTATTTTTCTCATGAGGGTAATCCAGGATTTGATTCGATTTCAGAGGGGAGATTTGCCGTGTATGTAGCAATAAAGCGTGAACTGAAAAGCTGTGTGAAAAGCAGTGTACAGTTATTTCGACTTGATCTGGTCTCATCAGCAGTGAATCAAATCATCCATTACTCTCATGTTACAAGAAGATGAAAAACGGTCTGATCAGCTACCCGGTGGTCGAGTGGTTAGTGTGCTTTCTTTCGGCCTATGGGGTCCCGGATTCGATCCCCAGTTGGGTCGATGGATTCGCACTGCTGATAAGACCCAACCAGGTTGAAGCAGCTGTACAGTGCTTCCCAGCTTTTCAGTTCATGCTTCATTTGCTGTATACACGCCGAATTTATTTGTCTCTTTATGTGTGTCGCTGGGAGGGAGAAAAAAACGGGCATTGAAAGGAAACAAAACGCTTGTAACATTATCCCACCGTTACTTTGATTCTTGGCTCACATGGTACCCAGATAATAACATTCACGGTCTAAGTATATGTAGAGATTCAAATGTGTTGAATTCCCTTCGTTGATTGCTTCCGTACAACGAAATACAATGGCCGAGACAAAACAGTGTCGAAATATCTCCCATAGAACAAATAATAGTGACTGGAATTGAAAATTGTTGTATCGCACCGGGATATTCGTATTTAGAGGTTTCCAATTCCTCCAGCTAAGTGTAAGTGGAAACCAGGGATAAATGGAAATGGACGCTATTATTGTGTCAATGGGCGAGTAATTCCAATCCGCAAAGCAAGAAAGCACAGAGTCTATGGACAGAGTCCACACCCATATCCACGGCACAAAGCACAAATTTCCCACTTTATTGTTTGATGCGAAGCCTGGGAGTTATCAAAGTAACCTTGAATACATTCTTTCTATTCATTATCGACCGGCGGTTGTTAAGTTGCACTATTGATATTCCGGACAGTGCAATTATGGATAGAAGCTGGGCAGTCGACTTATTGAGGTCCGGTTTGACGAGCATCTAAAATGCTTTCAGAACTGACACTGAATAAATGATGGGGACTGGTAAGTAATCTACTTTACTTTGTAAAATTGAACAATCAGTGGTTTGATCCTCAACGCAATCCGACATACGCTGCACAGAAAGATTCACCATCATATAAATGACCATTTCTAAGATAGATTTTAGAAATTCGTCTACTCAGACAATCGATAATTGAGGCTGAAATGTTCGACTACTTGTTCTGTTCTGTTTTATTTTTCTCACCTTTCATCACAGCCATGTCATCAGCGGATAAATTTACCTGCGGACGTTGTGCTGACTCGTTCACGTACATCTATCCCTATGTATGTCACGTGTTATTTAAGTGTGGACGACAATCGGTGATCAAATCAACATTCCACGCCCAATCATCGTCTGTCGCGTCATCCGTCATCCAATGCGATTCAACACAACATACTATTCACACTGCCCGAACCGATTCGTCTACGCTCCCGTATCATCTACTGCATTCCAGTGCAGCTCAGACAACCATTCCTGAAGAGCCTCGAGCTCCGCTCATCGATCGCCAGTTGAATTATCACGTCCCCACACGTGGTGGTGGAAAATCCCAACTAGTCCCGGGAGCGGAACGTGTAATGCGTAAAACTCCTTTTCATTCGGTTTCTACTCACCGTATAGCACCTGAATTAGACCAAACACGGGGTGAGACATATCCGAATTCGTTAATGAATTCACTCACAGTCCCGCTAAGAGTTAGTGTATCTCACACAACCGCAGTCGAAACTCCGACCCGATCCGCTCCGGAGCAGCCCCGTTCCGAAGTGAGTCGTGCTCGTCGGAATGGGGCCCGGCACTCGTTTACTGGTTTCCATCACACCCCGAAATCCGGGAACAATGCCAACGGCTCAAACTTACGAACACGTAATCCTCTCGTGGAACAGTTGTTACAAACACTGGGCAAGGAAACTTTGTCCAACCCCGTACACACTACGTCAAGTGTACTATCCCTCAGTCAGAATTGGTGTGCTAAGTGTTCCGTGTCGTTCAGGCTAACGAGTGACCTAGTTCAACACATGCGTACTCATCACAATAAGACTGGGTATGAGAAGAGTGGTCATTCTGATAGGTCACCCAAACGTCATTCGACCGGGTGTAATGGGACGTCTTCATCCACACTGATCGACGAGGATGATGATGCGAACAGTATGAGCAGTGATCACAGTCGAGACAGCTCGACGAACAGCACTGGTTGCAATTCGTGTCAGCCTTCAAATTGTACCGGACGGAAACTAGAAGAAGATCCGGCAAAGCAGATTGCGATGATCTCTGACTTATCCACGGGAAAACATGAACCGGATCGCCTTGCTTGTCGTCTGTGCGGGGAAATGTTTCGAGAGCGACATCACTTGACACGGCACATGATATCCCACAGTTAGTGGCGTAAACATACACACACACACACACACACACACACACACACTTTCTCCCTGAAATATGGTTTTGGTTCTCATTGATTTACTCAACAAGATGAGGTAAACTATGCGTCCCACGCGCGGTTTGTACACACACCGTCGTATTGTGATAATCTTAGTTGAGCCCAGATAACATGTATTATCTTGTTTGTTCACCGGCAAATTTGATTGATAATTCATGCGAATTCCCAAACACTATAAATACAAACTATAAATTCAAGCAAATTTTCGTAATTTAAAACGTTGTGTATATACACTGCTCTCTTTTGTTCCTTTATTATACAACGAATCGAATCTGTTCGAATTGATTATCTTAGAAATATCAAGAGATCGCCTTTAACAAGTACAGTGACTGTTTATCGAGAAAAAATAGTTGTCCTCGTTTTCGTGGATTTGACTGCTGCTCAGCCACAGCGGAACGTAGATTACAGTGCAATGCTGCTTTTCTACAACAAAGACCATCGGGATAGAAAAACACTTGTTTCCTCTGCGGGATTGTCCACTCGTGCAAGAGGGAGTGAGAGAGAGAGAGGTATGACTGTTTGGGCAGTCCGTGCATATCACAAGAGAAAATAACCGCACAGTTTCTGAGACACTTGAGGATATGTGATAGTTGCTGGCCTCTTTCACAATCATGTGAACTTACGCTCTATCCATAACGAATGAAGACGCAACCCATTCCTTTACAAGCCAACGAACTTTATTCACATTAACAGTTGTGAGAATAGTCTATCTCCTTGATTGATTTATCATCGTTTTTGGGAGCTTATGAGTTCGGCTGCCGTGAGTTGAAAGCAGGAGTGACCAGTAGCTAGTAACTCGGCCACCAAACATTGTTGCAAACAACAGCTGTGTGCTCGCGTATAGTACTCGGAATAGACATGAATCACGGGTCAGGAATAAAAGTCGCAAAAGAAGCACGGAATCGTATTAGCAATTGTACGCTGAAATATCCCGCCATCGAGATGCAGGCCAAAGGCCACAGAAGTAACGGTTAGTTTATTGAGGAAAATCAGTGGGATTAAAGAACGAGTACAAAGAAATGTCATTGATTAAATAGGTCTTCGCCAATAGCCTGCTTGTAACCTTGACATCACCCAGCTTTTGTTGAACCGCACGGCTTCTGATTGGTCGGCACGATCGGCCTGTGGTAACTGTAACGCGTCGCAACGGGTTTGGCAATATCTGTAAGCTAGGATCACATCACGACAGCAACACGTACGACATAGGCACAACTCTTGAATATCTGTGATCTATCAGATGATTTCAGTAGACGTATGTAACACGGTTACATGGCTTACAGTGTTCGCAAATATTCGGACAAATGCAAAATTTAAAATCTCTCTTAACCGGAGTCTAGGAATCGTTTTTTACACAGGATTTATGTGTACTACTCGATATCCATGTTTGTTCAGGAGTACACTCCAGGGTAGGTGCACTGTATTCGTCACTCACTATATATATGTATATATAGATATAGATATATAATGTCTTTATGGGATCAGATGCCAAAGGCACCTGGGTTTCGAGAAGGCTTCATCTGAGAACCTTGACTCATCACTTATGACCGGAAACTGTAGCGTGTTGCCCCGTGGTTTGCGTCATCCCGTAATTTAGGACCACCACAATAATCTGGAGTAGTAACCTTGGGGAATTTCGGTTAGGCATCATCATTTCAAGTGGACCTTGTTATATTCAAGTAAACTGCATTTTCAATGTGGCTTGGTGAAAAGCAAACGGTTCGGTATCGCGCTCCGGCTTCTGAAATCAAACTGTTTGGATCAGTTCATTTACTGTAGGCGACACCATTCGACTGCGATGTACACTCTTAGAGCATCCTAAATGAACCCGAACTATTAAAGCGCATGGAATATGTTTACACCCATTGACCAATTAAGAATTTCGAACAAACGCTAGAAATACTCAAGTTTACAGATTAGTGTTTACGCCAATACAGTTGTTGCCATACAGTTGATGAAAATCCAGATTCTTGTGAAATCAAATTCATTGAAGACAGTACGTGTAATCACTGCAGAGTGGCAGCACATTGATAACTCGATCCTTTTTCGAGGAATAGACTAATTGACTATTTCTCTCATGAACTCTCTTTTGAGCAGCCATTGACCGAGGTCAACTTTTAGTACACAGGGCAGTAGTGCAATAAGCAAGTAATGGGATCCACGCGTTCCATCCAAGGAGAGCTCAGTCATATGACCACCCCAATCATGAATACCAACCTGTTTAGATATCCCGAGGCTTGGTAACAACGGCGAGGTAAGACGAAAGTACTATTCCCTCTCATCACAGACACACTGTTAACACACAGGAGTAAAATTTGCCTACTTGCTAATGGCTGACCTCGAAAAACTGTGCTGTCTGAGAATAACGTTGTGCATATATTCAAATGGTATCTGTCTGTTCGTATCACTTACCGAGTTACGGGGTCTTTAGTTAAGCAAGACATTGGACGCTATTCACCAGCTGCATTTTACCTTGTTTCCCTCGGTTATTTATCCTCCTCTCAGGGAGTTTCACCTAGAATCCTGTTTTTCTGTGGTAACTGTCACACATGATCATTGAGCCTTCATCAATGCACTTAAGCTTTTGCAAGTATACCTCAATGTGTCTGTGTGTATTCCCGAATATGCATATGGGTCGATTAGAAATTGGGGCTGTGGTGACCGCGTGGTTGGATCATCAAATTGTGACCCGAAAGTCCCGGGTTCGAGCCGTTCCACCATCGCCTGTCGTTCCTGTTTCTTTATTTTCCCAGGCAGCCTTTGTGTGGCCACGACCCGCATCCTGGAAGTTGACTGTACATTCTAATTTCAGATCTATCAAGGGGTTGGTACTCACTGACCAGAGAGGTTTTGTCAACGACACCCACAGAGGTAATTCACCGCTTGATGAATTTTGCATTATGATGAGCACTGGCATGTGCACAGGCGTTGGTACACAATTCTCTCTCTCCGTGGTCTTCACCACCTTTGTCTGGATTGTCTTCCACCGGCAGTGATCCGGTCATTTTCAAGCCATCCTCGCTGATCGAATAAAAGTACAGTCTGTTTGTGGGGGTGTGGCTTTATGCTAATCGATAGACGATTTGACACAAGGGTTAAACAGGCCATGCGTCATGTCCATAGTATAAAACCCGCGAACCAAAGCTGATGAAGCACCATGAGAGAAGTGCAAATAAACCTGAGTCAAACAACGAGTAAAGGCTGGAAAAATCACAAGCCTAGACGAATGAGAAACGGATTGAAGGTTAAAAATAAAAATATTTATGAGTGGTGGAGGACCGACAAATTGTGTCAAGACTGAAAAACGCGAGTGAAGATCAGAATTTTGTGAACGAGGGATTATTAGCCACGGGGACCACTGTGGTCTTGTCTGGTGCAACACGGAGCAGGTCTTGTTAGGCACACTGTTTGATTGGGATCGTAATGAGGAAAACTCACATAAAATGAAAGATTATTTCCCTTAGCATGTCGGATAAAGTAAAAATGACTTATTTTGATGAAAGCTAAGCATTTGAAAGATATTTGCCTACCGAATCTTTATTCAGAATATCTCATTCATAAATTGATGAAATTTATCAAGGAGACAGGAGAAATTCGAACAGTTACGCCTATGTGACAGGGAGTCACTCAACTGCGAAATCTTTCTCCTCTCTGTCTTATATTCCTACTTGATCAAAAGCGGTGAATACCTTAGTACCATCTTCGTTTCGATAAAAGCGGTAACGATTACCGCTCCATTTGTCAGAAAGTGAAATCCGATTGGTTGATTGAGCGCAATTCTTTCTAGACGAGGATGGGCTACCTACTTTTCCGCCTTACTTTTGTCGGAAAATGAGATAGATCTCAGTCGCGTGTGTGGTGTCCAAGTCCTGGATGGAGATAGCACATCGTCCGAGGTATGGCCAAGCCTAACCTCTTCAAACCTATATGGTGGTTCCAGAAATCGGATACACATCGCCGAGTAGAATTTTCAACTGCGGTTCATCTGCACTTTTACCCGAGCAAACTGCGTCAAATGATATTAGGTGATCGCACGTCACAAGCCCATCCACACACATCCTCTGAATCGTTTGTGGGGTGGGGGACTGAGCTGGTCACTTTGTGCTGACTTTTCGTTGCTCGTGAAAAACAAGTCATAGCCGTCTCTGTGTGCTGATAGTGATATTTCTTCTCTGAACTAAACTGGGCGTTGGAAGACGTGCATTTTTCCTGTATGTCTCAACTCCGTCATGATTACTGGCATCTTTCTGAACCCACTGTTCCAATCTAAACTAATCCGGTTTGTTGAAGTGGTCTGCTTTCGCTTTATCGGAATGAGATGGTGAAATTCTTCGTGTGTGTCCCGAACTCTGAGACCTGACGCGATCATCCAGACCAAATGTGTTTTTTGTCATCGTCCATTCAGTTCATCTTATTTTTCTTTCCATTCCCGCTCGCGTGGAAAATCCTCTCACAATATTTATTTCGTTCACGTATTAGTATCATTATTTGTTTACATTCTCTACTTCAAACTTGCACACCTTTTTTTCACCTGGTAACTCATTACAACAGTATCGCAGCTGGTTGTTCAATAATGAAATTTGACACTCAACCTTACCCATCTTATGCCAAAATAATACAGATGTCTCTTTGTGTTATTGTGGTAATCGGAATAGTATTGAATTTAGGAATACGAGAATCCGTACCGTAATGCTCAGAACTGAATTGGCTCCAACCCGAACTGCGGACACCAATAAAATACACGAGGAATTGATAGCGGCAAATGCTTATGTTTATTGACAGAATTAGAGCATCTTTTATAGAATGTAATAGGCCATATGATTGGTTGAAGGGCCGTCGTTCAATTACGTAACCGTTTGCACCGACGTATCATATGTGCTAACTCGGATGTCATGTTCGCCCAGTGTACCATTGGTCGAGCTTCCTGAACGGTGATTGGATGAC